GATTGTTGTTTCTATAATCTAGTGCAATTGGAATGCATGGTCTTTCATGTTTTGTGCATTTGGTGATCTGAATTAAGCATGGTAGTGCATTTAATTATTATGGGTATGAATTACCTTTATTTTTTGAGTAAATAATTGGTTCTAAAGATGGTTTGAAGCGCAAGGTCTATTATGGAAAGAATATTTGAAATACATGGGAAAAGATATTGGTCCTTAATAGCATGAATAAGTATCACAAGTTTGTATACAAGCTGACAGGAATGCATTACCAACCATTCTTATAGCATGAGTATGGATGTTGTTAATATCTTTTAATGTGTTTCATGTGTTTGTGACTTCACAGCAGTCCAACCCCTGTTCCTTAAGAGATGTAAAAAGAAAGTACTAAAGACACAAGATAACACTCCACGAAGGAGGAGTAGAAGATTGCAGAGTGTTGTGTTCAGGATGAAAAACAAGCTGCGTGGGGGCCTGAAGCAGTAGGAATGTGGCTTGAAAAAGGGCGATGAGAGGGCGGTGAATGCACTTCGTACAAAGTATTGTGCTGCGATAGTCGAATCAGATATCAACGAGGTTAAGGACAAGATAAGGCAGCTGGTGAAGCACTCGAGTGCTTGAAGACTACATGACTTGATTACAAATTCATGTTTCTGATGCCCGACTTTTTCATGGGGATTATGATCTATTCTGTTTTTTTCTAGAATTGTCAATTTCATATCCTTTTGAGTTTTGGTTTCATGAAGCAACCCTTGAGTGAGTCGTTGCTGGCTTGTTCGTTTTGCTAGATGGGGTTGCATTATTGCTCAGTATGAACATAGATACACATATTTTTTTGGTATTTATGAAGAGTTTGAGTATTAACTTAACTGGACGTCAATTTGTTGTGTGAATCTGTTTCTTTGCATTGTAATTTTACATAATGTTGGAGGGGATTCTGATTTTAACAGGTGAATGTTTTGGATTGGATAGTGTTTAGTGCAGAATTTGTTGCAGCATTTTGTTTTATTGGTGCGCCCTGAATTTGTTTTAGTGCAACCCAGTAGCTGTTTATTGACAGGTACTGTTTTTGACAGTGGTGATTTCTGTCAAACGTATAACAAGTTGGGTGAATAAGTAAGAGGCGTTCCAAGTAGTCGATCTGTTGGGACTTGTTTGGTGCAGGAATTGTTACGGGTGTTTTGTTATTGGTGCATGATGGAAATGGATTTAGTGCAATGTATAGTTTGTTTAATGGGGATCCACACATGTTTAGAGCCATCACTGTATGTTTTCATAGAATGAGAAGTTTGTGGGGCAGTATTGGATCAAAACTGTAGATTTAGATGTAGTGGAAATACATAAAGGTCGTGCATTGATGATTTTGTAATTACTATATTAATCAAAATTGCAATAATACACAAGTCATGGGCAAACAAATGTCATGTGACGTTATAAAGAACGTTGAAAACATTACAAAAACTTATAAAATGTGTGTAGGAAGATGATTTAATTATGATGAATAATTCATCGGACAATTCCTACTGTCGTGATATCCTAGCTCTTTGCAGGTTCGACACATGCGTTTGTTCTTCTTGCTTTGCTCGATTTGGATCTCTTTAGCACTCTTGATGCGCTTACCATTTTGTCTACACCGGTGAATGGCGTAAAAACCATTTTGTACCTGCACCATGGGTAACACACCATCGCCAAAGTAGTTCAAACACTGAAAACACGTATTTAGTGCGTTACGTAAATATGATAATGCAGTACAGATTACAAAAAATGCGAAATAGTAAGAATATGTAAGAACAGAAGGTGTGCAATGCATATTGACAGGGCTAGTTTAACAGTATTATACTTATTCTTAAAGGCATAACAGAAGGCATTAAAGAATATACCTATTTGTGTTGAAGGTTGCGTCAAACGAAATGACATCTCCAAACATTGCGTACTTCTTCCTAGCGACAGGATCGCACCAAAATACCCTGGTTAGCTGGTCACTCTCATCGACATCATAATCAAAGTGGAACGCAGAGCATTTTTGTTTCTTTCCGAATAGTTTGTCAATGAGCATTTGAGCATCAGCGCCTGCAATGTATGCCTTCAAGTCCCGTTTGAAATTTTTAAAGTCAACGTCAATGGCACCGACATTATCGTAGCCCCCAACTGATTCCTTAAACAATCTATATGACTTCATTGGCCCAATGTTCGCCTTTGCACAATTCAACATAAACTTCTTGTGGCCAATTTCTAAGTTTCTGTTGATTTTCAGAAAGGGTCTAGATGGAATGGACAGCATTGGATGGTTATGCGTTTCTATGAATGCCGATATGGTGTACCCTACACCACCCACAAGCCTAAATGCCACACGTGCCTTGCAATCAACACGATTTGAAATGCGTCTCCTCTGTTTTGCCTTTGGCACTCCATCATCGTGAGTG